TTTTGTCTTTCGTGCTCGCAACCAGGAAACAGAGCCCATTTCATGACCAGGCAGGTACGCTGTAGGCCAAGGTCGCACGTCATAACCCCAAGGAAACACGCAGATGTCGTGAGCATGGACCAATCACAAATGCCATCCCCTCCCCCGCCCCCCCGTTTAATCGTAGTTGGACTACAATAGTATGCCCACGCTTGCTGCTTGCTCATTTTCCCAGACGATGGCCCCTGGTGTAAAGCCGAAAGCTCAGAATTATACAATTTCCGTTTCAATGATTGCGTCTTCTTCTTCTTCTTCTTTACAAAAAGTTTCATCAGCATATCACAGCCAAAACTTAGGGTTGACTAGCGGAAGAGCTGTGGCCTCGAATCTCCGCATTGCCACCTCAGCAAGAAAGCTCAATATAGGTGAAACCATAGGAGCTCATTCCAGTGGTTGGTAATATTTCCTGTCAGATGAAAAGCCGGTCCATCAGCATAAATCCAAGAGTTCAAGTAAGGCAGTTGCAAGAACATCCTTCCTGTAGGATATGGTATTTTCCCATGCATTTCCTCCCTAAATCAAGGGGAATGAGCGTGAAGAAAGTGACGATAACAATGGAGACCATTATTTAATCAACTGGAACTATGCTTCCTTGTAATTTTTTCAGGAATTCTATGGAGCCTTTAATGGAAGTTTCACAGTTCCTTGTAAGTGGGCGGAGTTCATGGAATAAGTGTGATTAAATTCATGGCGCTAGGTGGGGCGTTTGTAGCTTAGCGGTTAGACCGTTGGCCGCCGGTAAGGGCCTTCTCTGACATGCGGGTTAAAATCCCGCCGAACGCCTCGAGTTTCTTCACAATTGGGTCAACTCAAATGGAATAACCATTTATATACTTTGTAATTTGGCGCAACGAGAGCAATCAGCCTACTTTTCATAAACGGAGGCCTGTTAACGGTGTACTATGTAGACCAAAACACACTTTTTGGACAAGGAAGGCTATCAGATCAAAGTGTAGGACTTGCTAGAATTCTTTGTCTCAAAAGGGTTATCCTGGAGACATAGAACGCCGATGCGTGAGAGCAGAAGTGTAAAAGAACAAGGACTTAGGCAGTTGCACTCAAAGGCCCAAGCCATATACTTGATAAAGCCTTACCTACCTCAAAAAGCGCCTGCACCTTTGACAGACACTCAAGGAAGCACCCGATGCGCCTGGCCCATAGAACAATAACGACATTGCGCGCCCAACTAGCACACGCCAAGGATGTGAGTTAACTATTTGCACAGGAAAGAAATGGTCTAAAAGATCCCATATGGCGCCTCTCCGATGCCAGGATGAAAACGCCGCAATAAAGTCCTTTTCCCAATATACAGTACGTACCAAAATTCGTGCAACATGTCGACATATGAAAAGATTGATACTCTTTTGCTAACCGCAATTGACTCAGGTTGTGTCGTCTATTCTGCAGTTATTTCAGTCATGGTATAATGTCGGCTTTTTAATGAGCTTCTTTCTGATCACTAACAAACGTATGTACTGTAAAAAGTTTCTTCTTATATAGTTTGCGTATTAAGCATTGATTTTGACTGCCTTTATAAATTAAAATATATTTTATGGAAAAAGTACACGAAAGAATTATTTCTTGTACCCGTTTGGTAGTAAATTACACCTTCTGTAAATTTTGTACTGAAAGAAAGGGTATCTTTCGGTTTTAATAAATTGCCGAATAATTGTGAAATCTACTGACTACCACACTCGAATTCAAGTTTAACAAACTGCGCACTGCGTACGAAAAGTGCGTTTTCACCTACAGTTTGAAGAAGAAGTCAGATAGTTCTCATAAAATGTTGCAAGAGGTGTGGAGCATGTTCTATACAGTATAGGCAGCATTAATAAACTGACGTATACGATGTATTTTGAATAAACACCTCACAATCGTAAAAAAGCTAATAATTATAAAAAAATTTAAACCGTAAGATTCCCTTTTGTAAGTATAACATTTAAAGAAGACGTAATTTGCCACCAAACGAGTACAAGAAATAACTTTTTCATTTACGTTTTTCATAAGAAATATTTGAATTTATAAAGGCAGTCACAGTCAATGATAAATACGCATACTATTTAAGTAGTTACTTTTTACAGAACATAAGTTTTTTTAGTGGGCAGAACGAAAAACGTTATTTATTATTTATTAAAACACGCATCCTATCATGGCTGAAATAACTTCAGGATAGACTACGCGATAATCAGTATTACAACCTGAGTCAATGCCGATTAGCGAAAGTGTATCAATCTTTCGCATATGTCGGCATGTTGCACGAATTCTTCCGCGTACTGTATATATAATATATAACGAAACGAAGTACTCATCCATCTATGAGACAGCCAATGCCAAAATGTAAAGCATTGCGAACACAGAATCAGTCACTTACGGCCTCTCATGTATTTACCGTTCGTGTTTTTTTCTGTTGCCTATAGAGATGGACTGAAAATATCCCATAAGCTAACCGGTTCGCAAATGTTCAAAATTGCATCATTGCAACTCTTGGCTCCAGTTTTCTAACTAATGTAGGGAGGTGCAATACCAAGTATCCGAATGATCTGCTGCTAGAGGGCCCAAATTTCAGTCGGCACCCACACCGTTTTAAGCGTGACCCTTGGCAGGACTCGTAGAAAAACATTCTGTCCAATCAGTGGATAGAGCACGCGTATAGGGGCACCCCCGTGACTGGTTCATCCGGTGTGAGCAAAACTGTGCGCAGAACTGATAGTGTATTGCACAATGTGAAATGCCTGAAGGAAAGAGGCTAAGTGGTGGGATGCCTTGTTAAATGCTTATGGGCGGCAGCGGGTGCGATCATTGATCGACGCGCCAATAGGAGGCAGAGTTGATTGGTAAAGCGGGTTGTCCTTGTGCGTATTTGGTGCGG